GGGGGGATGTGCGTGGGGACGGGTGCGAACCCAGCCCCCGGGGTTCTCGGGCAGGCGGGCTCCTGGGTCGCTTGGGCTTTCCTCAGCGTCATCCCCCAAGTGCCTGTGGCCCTCTGTAGCGCCTCCTCGCCCTGTTCTGTGAAGTGTTTTGTGGTGGTGGTGGTAGTCTTTATAAACTATGAGTAAAATAAGCCTAATGTGAAGCATAAATTAAACTCTGTAATTTTCTCCTTCGTTCTTTCATAACCTTTGTCTTTTCAGCTGTTTTCATCTCAAATTCATCACGCAGAAGTTAGGAAAGCTTGCGTCTTGTTTATGAGGCAACACCAGCAGAAGTTTGAATCTGTAAGTAATGTGTGTGTGTTAAGGCAGTTTTGCGCGCATAGGAAGTAATGTGGGAGGGGGTGAGTGGCTTAGCCGTAAACATACCCACATGAACATATACGCTGAAAATATGCCATGCTTTGCCAGGCTTGATGCATGTAAGAGAAGAGAAATGGCAGGGTGATGGCTTGCTTACCTTGAGTTGCAATCACGCAAGTTTTATTTGCCTTTCCATTTCTGAAGTTCCTGAAAGCAAGCAAGTAACTAACGCCCGGGTAACCAGCAGGGTGACAGTTATTTGTGTAGTATATTCTTCGTGGAGCAACCATTGCAGAATTCAATAGGTAGGAAATACGTAGGATTTTGGAGTAAGAAACTAATATCAAGAGATGGTGGAAGACTCCGGAGTGTGTTTAATTGTTGCATAAAGTCATGGGGTTTGGGTTTGGGTTTTTTTTTGTTTGGTTTTGCGGGTGGCGGTTTGTGTGGGTGCGTGTGTGGTGTGGTTTTGTGTGGCATTGGGATGTTTTTGGGGTTTTTTTGTTTTGGTTTTTTTTTTGTGTGTTTTTTGGGTTTTCCCCCCCCCCGTAATCACAGTTAAGTGCTTAATCTAATCTAGGAGGGAGATCAGTCACTGAGTATTACTCGGACTCATGCTCTAAATTTTTTTTAGGATCTCTTGGTTATTTCCATGTTGGTACCCCAAATCATTCCCATGCTCTAAGGCAGGGAGCAGCTGAAGTCATACCCCCAGTCAGACCACAGCCCTTCAGAACCCAGAAATGATAGGAATTGGCAGACTGGTCCCAAATTGGTGTCTATGTCCCTGGTCACTGCCCTGCCCCTTCCCGTTCAACAGCTAGTAACGTATGGCATAGTGTTGACATTTAACTTTGCTTTCCAACTGGCTAAGTTTTTATATTTGTTTTCTTCTTTGTTTTGCTGAAAGTATGTGGAAGGATCATTTGAGAAATACCTTGAACGACTAGGAGATCCAAAGGTAAGACTGATCAAATACTGGTCAAGAGATTAAAATTTGAGGAGACTAGAACAGGGAAGTCATTAGGTGATGGTTTAAAATGCAGTGGTTTGGGTTGGTTTGTTTTTAGATAGACCCCAATCCTGGGATCTCATTTGCATAGGTAATACTATGGGTTTATACTGAATAGTCACATGTATAAACAATATCAATTTTAGTGGGGAATTTGTGTTGGTGCAAAGGAGCAATCTATGCAGATTGGACAGTAAAGCTGAGGCCTCTCGTGGGCCTTATTCATAATTGCAATTCTTCTCTAAGAAGGAAAAAGCAAAATGTGTGGAGAATACCTCGTGTCAAATGTTTATCAGGCTTTGCAATCCCTTGCTCCTTCCATTACCCCCGGGTTTGAATACTGGAGCTCAAACTTCTGTTTCTTTAGACTTAACCAGTAAGTATGGTGATTGCAGCAGTCTCTGAAACAAATACGGTGGTTTTAATTTTAAAAAAAAAATAAGTATCTTGAGTGATGTGTTTAAGAGTCGATGCCAGAACTAGCTCCATCTTACTCAACTTGGTAATCATGGCCATCCCATGTTGCAGATGGTTTTTTGATTTGTTTGTTTGGGTTTTTTGTGGGTTTTTTTTTTCTTCCCCTGGAAATCCTAATAACTCTCAATGCATTGTTTGTTTTAACAAACTGATGAGTTTGGTTAGGTATTTTAATACTACAGAGAGCTAGAAAAGAGTTCTCAGTGTTGAAGATGGCTCTGCTATCTCATGTAATCTCATAATCTTGCATAGGAAAGTGCTGGCCAGCTGGAAATGAATGCTTTATCAGTGTTGTACAAGTAAGTGTCTCTTTCTTAAGTTTCACTTTGGTTTGGACTTGATGGTGTTTGGGTTCTGGCCCCAGAACTTTCTGTTTGTCGCTGAGATACTAATGTGTGAAACATGGTGAGAAATGCTACCCTAATGAAGTTACTTAAGCTAACATATAAATGGATGCCATCACAGCCCTTGTTCCCATAGTGTGGATTAAGGGGAGGGTCAGTTTCCAGCGATGTTTATTTGTTATCTTTTTGCTAATGTTAAACTCTGAAGTCCAGTGTTTCCTTCTAGTGGCTGAAGGATGGAAAATGGGGGGAAAAAAACCAAGGAGCCTTGTGCAGTGGAAACACTGTGTGGTAGTTACAAGCATGACTAAAACTCATGTAGGTGTTCTTGAAAGCTCCAGTAGTGAGGCGTGCTTGCCCTACTTGGTGTGTAAACCCTGATATTTATTTCAAAGGTAACATAAGCCTGTGCAGGTGCTGCTGTCTTGCTAAAAATGCCACTATCCTGTAACAAGCTGGCTGTCCAGTGGTAGAAGGAAGAACCCTCCCTTTGCAGGCTCGTTCTGTTCCAGTGCTAAAGGAACAAACTGAAATTTTGCACGAGTTACTAGTTCCCTGTACTGAGGCTCTAATCCTTTTGCAGGGTGACTAAATCACTTTGACTTAACTGTCTCAGTGTCTGAGCACCCT